ACTTTATAACATCTCTCGGTTAAATAATGGATCGCAAATGAGCGATGAAAATGAATGATTCTCAGAGGAACATTTTCTCGATTCAGTCACCAAGGAGGAGGCAGATTCACTTAATGCCCCAATTACTGAAGAAGACGTTCAGATAGTGATTAAAAATGCAAAATTAGGTTAAGTACCTGGACAGGATGGAATCTCAGCAAGCTACTATTAAAAATTCAGACACTTACTGATTCCTAAGGTGATGAAAACATTTAATGCATTGATAACTGGGGAAATGATGCACCGTGAATCACTTGCAAGAATAATAACTGTTATATCTAAAGACCTTGATATATGTGGAAGCTATAGACTAATCTCCCTCCTTAATGTTGATATAAAGCTCTTATTTAAAATTTTAGCATCTAGAATTCAGCAGTTTCTACCAAGACTAATAGACCCAGACCAGACAAGTTTTATATCTGGACGAGAAGTGCGAGATAGCACCCTTATAGTGTTTACAATCCAACATCTTGCTAAAAAGGAAGGTAAGCCTTCTGGCCTTTTATGTTGTTAACATTACATAAAATTGGATTAGGATGGAAATTCTTAAACTGTATAAAGGCACTTTATAGTAGCCCGAAGGTTAGAGTTAGAGTTAATGGGACACTTACAAATAGTTTTCACATATATAATGATACTAGACAGGGGTGCCCGCTTTCGCCCTTATTATATGCTTTTACACTAGAGCCTCTCCTGGTAAATGTGTAATGTAATCCAGATATAAAAGGCTTCCGTTGGAAAGGAATGGAGCATGAAATAGCGGCGTACGTGGATGATCTCTTTTTTTGTAGAAGAACCTAGCTCCACCTCGCCTAATCTTCTAAGAGAACTGCAAGCATATATAACACTTTTGGGTTACCCATGGGTGCATGGGTGCATGGGTGTTCCGAGGATGGAGGGGACTATATCTGCAATATATAACAATCTTCTTGTGGGATATTCGAAAGAAGAAACTTTATTCAGACAACAGTGGTCAGAACTAACGGACAAAATGTTTACTTATTCACAGTGTGAGAAAATTCTTATTTTATGCCATAAAAGTTCTGTCAGTTCTAGATATCAAGAACTTGATTACAAATTACTCTCATTTTGGTACAGAACACTGGTATTATTGCATATAATATTTCCCTCGGTATCGGATATGTGTTGGAGATGCGGTGAAGAAGTTGGTACAGTAAGACACTTATGGTGGGATCTTATCACACCATTCTGGGATGCGATTAGGGCAAAATTAGCTCATATTCTTGAAGAGGCACCTTTGTTCGAGATAGATCATGATCTCTTACATGCAACACCATTATCGCTCTTCAAATAAAATAAGTTGATACTCTGACATTTGATTTGATGCAGTGAAATCCTTTATACCGGCCTTTTGGAAGCAAAACAGCCACCCTGTCAATAGAACAATGGCTATCGAAGGTGGAAGGGATCCAGGCCACTGAGGCACTATGGGCTGAACTATAGGAAGATAGGGATAAACATATCGAGACTTGGTATCCCTGGATGGTTTATTTGTCAAATAGTGATGTCAGAGCAGATCATTTTGTAAGGGCACAGAGATCAGACACGTGTGTTAGATATAATTATGTACATTTCTCTCTCTCTCTCTCTCTCTCTCTCTTTATTTTTTATGATATTCTTATAAATGATAAATTTATGATTTATATTAGGATATTGAGGGGGAAAAACAAAGAAAAACTTTCAGGGTGCATTTAGTTTATGCTGGTATGGAGGGGAATGATAAATATATTGCTGAATTCTAGGTGAGGATTAGGGCTGCCTCTTGAGGCTATAGATTTAAATAATAAATAATTAATAGATCCAAGGATAGGACTTTATAATTTTTACTTACCGTATGTACTCGAGTATAAGTCGAGTTTTTCAGCACATTATTTGAGCTGAAAAACTCCCACTCGACTTATACTCGAGTCAATGTCTGTATTATGGCAACTTACATTGCCATAATACAGACCAGGACCACCGGGCTCATTACAAGCCCGGCAGTCCTGTTGAGGGCTGGCAGCGAGCTCCTGTCAACTCCCTTCTCTCTCCTCCAGTCCAGTCAGCTCCACTGCAAGTCTCGCGAGAGCCGCAGGGTCAGAGCGTTGCCGTGGCAGTCACACTGCAAGACTTGCAGTGGAGCTGACAGGGGAGCTGACCGGACCGTAGGAGAGAGAAGGGAGCTGACAGGAGCTGCAGGAAAGGCAAGTTACAGCTCTCTGCCAGCCCCCCCTCCTGCACAACCCATCCACTGGACAACCAGGGAATGAAAGCCCCCTCCCTGGTCAGCTAACAATCAGGGAGGGGGGACAAAAATAAATAAATAAAAAATTAAATAATAATAAAATAAAAATATTAATAATATAAAAAAATAATAATAATAATTTTAAAAAATAATAAAAATACCCACCACCCCACCAAGGCTCTGCATCACATACACACACTGCATTCATACACACACACACACACTGCATTCATACACACACACTGCATTCATACACACACTGCATTCATAAACACACACACACTGCATTCATACACACACACTGCATTCATAAACACACACACACACACACTGCATTCATACACACACTTCAGTCATACACACACTGCATTCATACACACACGCTACATTCATACACACACTGCATTCATACACACACACACTGCATTCATACAACACACACACACACACTGCATTCATACAAACACACTGCATTATATACACACACACACTGCATTTATTATATACACACACTGTAAAAAAATATTCAATTAATATAATTTTTTTGGGATCTAATTTTATTTAGAAATTTACCAGTAGCTGCTGCATTTTCCACCCTAGTCCGAGTCAATACGTTTTCTCAGTTTTTGGGGGTAAAATTAGGGGTCTCGACTTATACTCGAGTATATACGGTATTTATTTATTTAATTATTTTGTTGTTGTTGGTTTTTTTTATAGTTATTTATGTTTATTGCTTTGCTGGTTTTTGGGCATGTGTATTAGGGTGAAGATAAATGTTGGTATAGCAAAAAGTAGGCACAATAAATAAGGTTTGATAAATATTTGAAATAATTGCTTACAAGGCTATTTTAGCTTTTATTACCTTTTTTGGGTGTATTATTTTTGCTATGTCCTGTCTACATATTGGGTCCTGCGCGACCATCAGATGCCTATGTTTATTTAGACCTTAGTCTTCTTTCTCAAAATTTTTCCTAATAAAAAATAATTAAAAAAAATAAATTATTTTACACATATGTTTATATATATATATATATATATATATATATATATATATATATATATATATATATATGTTATATGAAAACTTGTGAAAATGTTATTGGATAAATAAATGTAAATGATAGAAAAATCGATTTGGGCTCACCAAAAAAGTTGTGTCACTAGAAAAGTTTTTCATATGACTGGATGTTATATTTAAATTATTTAACTCTATTCTTTCCTTTTGTTTCTAAAATCAGTCATGAATTTCAGAGAATTTAATAAATAAAAAATTAGTAAGGATCTACTATATCCCCTGTTAAGCAGAAAGGACTTAATATATAATCTCCTCCACCTTCACAATAATTGGGGAATGGTGATAATGCTGCATACATAAATACCTCTGTATAAACAATGGCGCTGAGAAGCCAAGAATTCCAAATATGATTTTCTATGTTGTTTGTAAAAGAGTACATGCTGATAGTTGCTGCCAGAATTTCTATCTTGCTGGGAGATATTAAGATACATGCTCAATGATTAGTAACCGTTTTACCATTTACCGTACATTTGTGGTCTCATTACCTAATAATACAACTTTGAATCTATATATGTATATGGATATATTTAATCCATTGTCAACATAGTCAATTACAATTTTAAATTGGCGCTCTAAGCACCATAATCACAATAGCTCATTGCAAAAGAGTTGTTAGGGACCACTCTTCCCCCCATTTGAATTAAACTTTATTTCAATATTTTGATGAAAAAGCAGGACCTAGCAGATACTACAGCCTGGCACCACAGGTATAGTTTAACAAGTGTGGAAGTAAATAGACTTGTGCACAGTGAGAAAATTTGGCTATGCCAAACCATTTTTCCTAAAATCAGAAAAACATTTTCTGCATTAATTCAGTACCAGAATCCTGCTTCAGGAACCAAATCAGACATACCAAAAGGGTGCAAAACTGAGCCAATCAGTGTTCTGCAAAATATATATAATAGAATATGATGGAAAATTTTTCCCACTGTTTGGTTCACAGATCAAGTGAGAAAAATTAACTAGTAGAGGAAAAAGCAGGAGGAACAGAAAAAAGAAATCTTTATTTTTATACTTTTATTAACTATATAATATATAAATAAAGATAAATATAATTTGTTCCTATTCTCAATTGGTCTGTGAATTAAATCAACACATTGCTTGTCATAGATTTCCGTTTTTGTTTTGGCTTTAATAGTAACAATAGTTTTGTGTAGAACTATAACAAATGTCATAGCAAAATCAAAGTATATCATGTCCACTGATCTATATGATACTGAAAGATTAAAAACAGTGTTATGAAGAGTGTACGGAGCATTACTAGCAGGCACACATTACTCCACAGACAATTTCATATAGGCATGGCACAAGGACCTAGGATGTACCTTTTCAGGGCACCAGTAGTCTGGAGCCTTCATAAGCCATGAAGGCAATACCGCCTGCATCACACACTTTGAACAAATAAGAAAACTACAGTATAGGTGGTATCTAGTCCCAACTAGGCTAGCACACATATTCCCCGGCACTTCTGCCCAATGCTGGCGATGCTGTTTGGAAAGGGGCTCGCTATTGCACATCTGGTGGGAGTGCAAAGACATATAACCCTACTGGACCATAGTGAGCAAAATCGTTGATCACCTACTATCTATAAAGCTAACTCTAACCCCAGCAATTTGCCTCTTGTACATATGGCCAGAGGGCATGTCCAAAGTCCACACCAAACTTCTATTCCGCACGATAGTATCAGCATGCAACCTCATAGCAAAACACTGGAAATCTAGAGTAGCCCCCACAAAAACCAGACTGATTACCCAAATGCAAACAAACTGGGAATACGAACATATGGCGGCCCATCAGCTTGAAAAGAAAGGGGCAACTACAGAGGCAGGCCATATCTGGGATAAATACTGGAACACGGTGAAGCATCAGACAGACGGAGCTGAATAGAAATAATTGTCCAGTAGACCGCTAGGGACTGCCCTGAGAGAAAAAGAGACTCAGGGGAGAAAGCTCATATCACCAACACGCACACCGTGTACATGGAAAACATATAGACAAAACCTATAGATAAAGTGAACCCACTTGTGTACGTAAGTTAACCCCTCCTACCTTACCCATCCACCACCTTCCTCCCCCCCAACCCCTCTTCTTACCGTCCCACAAGGTACAGAGGCAGTTACAAAGATTCAACAAAGTGTGAAGTAGAGCTTGTTTATTAATGTGATGCCTCGTGGATGAGGTAAACAGTTAATACTCTTCAACATTGTTAGAAAAATTGTAATGTACAACACAATACTTGATCGTGCCTGCAATACATGATGGTACCCCCCTCTCCTATCTTCCTTTCTGTACCCCAATACGTACTTGAAAAAGTTACTAAAAATTGTCAAATTTAAAAAAAACAGTGTTATGGATCTTTTTTACACTAACTTTCCCAAGTACTTGCGGGCGCATGCCATCTGGCCCTTAGGCTTTGTTTCTGTTAACTTCATTTGTGTTAACTAATTGCCTGATTGCTTTAGATTTTTGTAACAGGGATTTGCAAAATCTAGAGTTAGATTTATCTTTGCTATATAATGATGAAAAGAACATATTTAAAATGTCTGTCTTGTCCTGATCCTCATTGATCAACATATTCATCTCAGATTCAAATGGTCCAACACTTTCACTCTTAAGCTTTTTGTCATTAATGTACTCAACATTTTGGGTTGATTTTTCTCTTTGCATATAGTTAAGCCCATCTAATTTCCATTTTTGTAAGCTCTGTTGGCATGCTTAAATGTTTTGTAGGATCCTATTGACCCATCTAATTTAAATGTTTTAAATTCCCATTTCTTATCGTTTGTTACTTGGCTGGTCCTTTTATTAAGCCAGTTATAATTTGCTTGTTTCATATTGATTTCCACTGGTATGTATTGAGAAAAGTATTTCTGTAGAACTTTTTTAAAGACTTTCCGGTTAGGCAGTTATAGAAGAAAGACCAAACTGTATATGCATGGGGAGTTCTTTTTTTTTGTCAAACCACTTGGAAACAAGTTAGCACAAATTGTAATAGGTTTGCGACCATAAACTTTACAATGTGATTTTAGTCATTGTATTTCTTAAAAATCCCAAAATTTTATAGCAAATGCTTTACTACTTTGTTCAAATATATATTTGTAGCCAAAACGCTTGGCTTAAAGGGACACTGTGGGCACCCAAACCACTTCAGCTCATTGAAGTGGACTGGGTGCCAATTTCCATTACCCTTAACCCTGCAAGTGTAATTATTGCAGTTTTTATAAACCTTGCAGGGTTAAGTCCTCCTCTAGTGGCTGTCTACCAGACAGCCACTAGAGGCAATTCTGGCTTCTTCAACGACTTTTGGTCGTTTAACCCCTTAAGGACACATGACATGTGTGACACGTCATGATTCCCCTTTATTCCAGAAGTTTGGTCCTTAAGGGGTTAAACGACGTTGGACATCCTCATGCTATGCTCATGCTGGACGTCCTCATGCTATGGATAATGCTTTTCTATGGGATGGTCTAATGTGTGGGCATGGCCATTGCTGCGCATGCGCATTAGGTCGGGGGGGGAGGAGCGTGGGCGGAACCTGACCCAGCACCGAGGGACATCGGCATTGGATTCAGGTAAGTAACTGATGGGGTTTTAACCCCTTTAGCAACGTGGTATGGGGGGCAGGAGGGAGGGGCAATCCAGGAATCTACAGTGCCAGGAAAACGTGTGAAAACTAGAGAATACCTTTATTGTCATTTTTTATTTTTTTGTCACATCTCCCTCTCTGCATTTCAAGCACTATCATAGGAATGTGCAAGATAAGTGTAACTTGGTTCAGTTAGTTAACCCATTCAATGCAATGCAAGGAAAGGGATAAATTGGAATTGTAGATGTAAGGTAACCTATGAAATACTCTGAGATTTACCTTAATGAAAAACCAAATAACCCAGAAGTTAGAGCCACAAACCATTTCATCAGGTGCTACAGAGGGAATTTTTCAGAAATATTTCAATTTATTCTTGAAATAAAGAATTCTCGTATGGGAATAGATTCAATCTTCTGTGTAAGTTATTTTAATGGAGAGGGCTTTTGCCAGCAATAAACATCATATTTGGGCATGTCCAAGCTGACAGCCGTTTGCAAACCTACCTCACTTCTTGTTTTTCGTCTTTATAGTACTTGCTGCGATTACGGGAAGTGGCATTTATTCTGCCAGTAGCCTGAAAAATGGTACAAAACCATACATTTAAAGTCACAAATTGCTATTAATTCTACATACATTCAAGCTTTTATTTTGTTTGCTGATGTGTCTCATATCCCCTGACATTATGTGTGTATATGTCAATATAGCTTGTACACAGTATAAACACAACAACTATAGAGAAAATAATGATGCTTTAGTGTGAACATGGGTATACATGTAATAAGTGAGACTGTACATGATGAATTATGATGTATAATTATTCTTGGCACAAGCATGGCTATGAGGACCCATCGCACAAGTCTTTGATTTCTAACAGAATTCACAGTAAAAAAAATAATTTTAAAATAAATTAAAAGTTAATTTAAAATTTAAAGTGAAAGTAGCTGAATTGGTCAAATTCTCCAAGTCAGCTATGCTTCCAGTTCAGCTACTTTGGCTTAAAATGGAAATCTCTCACTTTAATGAATAACCCTGTTAATATTTGGAGTGTGTGCTAAATGTAAGATCCTCTCTGACCAGCTGAGTGCTGTGCCAGGTGAGAAGCTTCTAAATAGTGATGTCGCGAACCCGAAATTTTCGGTTCGCGAACGGCGAACGCGAACTTCCGCAAATGTTCGCGAACCGGCGAACCGCCCGAAACGCCATTGACTTCAATGGGGAGGCGAATTTTAAAACACACAGGGACTCTTTCTGGCCACAATAGGGATGGAAAAGTTGTTTCAAGGGGACTAACACCTGGACTGTGGCATGCCGGAGGGGGATCCATGGCAAAACTCCCATGGAAAATTACACAGTTGATACAGAGTCTGGTTTTAATCCATAAAGGGCAGAAATCACCTAACATTCCTAAATCACAATCAATATGGATTGACACCTGACATATGACATATTGACACCTTGACATATGGATTGACACCTGTCCTCAGGCCCCTGATGCACACGGACACAGAGCAGAATAGAGACTGGTCCCCCTACATAGGGTCACTTGGCAGATATGGATTGACACCTGTCCTAGGATCCCTGATACACACTGACACAGAGCAGAATAGGGACTGTTCCCCTACATCGGGTCACTTGGCAGATATGGATTGACACCTGTCCTAAGGTTCCCTGATACACACTGACACAGAGCAGAATATTACTGGTCCCCTACATCGGGTCACTTGGCAGATATGGATTGACACCTTGTTACAAACTGCTATTTGTAACGGGCCCTTTAAATGGCAAATTGCCCTGTTTCCCTGGGTTGTGGAGAAGCCTCTTTGCCAGCCTCCTCCCGCATGACTATGGCCCCTGGGAGATTGTGAAAATGTATGCACTTTTATTTGGTGTGTATGGCCCTTTAAGACTGTCGGTGGGCATATTGGGGCTTATGGACTCTTTATGTGACTGGTGCTGGCCCTTTAAACACCTTTTTGGGACATCAGGAAGATTGGGACACTGCCCCTTTAAGGCCGTGTCCCCAGACTTGTTGGGGACACTGCCCCTTTAAGACGGTGTCCCCTGTGTCCCCAGACCTGGTGCAAACCCTTTGTGCCTGCCTGGCTAATTCCCACTTGGTTCAGTAAATGGG